GGGATGTGAAGGGTAAACAAAAGGAGGAGGCTGCAATGCTTGGTAAGAAATGTATGCATTATCCTGCCCATGTAATTGTAACCCCTCTGTACAGTATCTTCACAAATAAAATAAAATAAAAATAATTAAAAAAAAGATTTTTTAGGAACTGAAATAAATTGTGGCACTTCATGAAAAAAAAAGAAAGTATAAAATATACTTTACAAAAAAAAAGAAAGAAAGAAAAAGGTTAATACAATTTTGTAACCAATTCAAAGGTATAATCTTGACATTAAGGCCAACAATAGATTACAATACCTGTGACCTTCTATGTACCATAATGCTCTATTTAAGGTTTTAAGTGTTAGGATTTGATGCTTAAGTACCTAATTCCTCAATTCACTTCTTTTATCATGTTATAAAGCCAAACCATGTCCCTGGCGAGACTTTTTTTGGAAAGTCTGTCTTCTGAGTTGTCATTCCTACCGAAGCTACCTCAGAATCACAATTATGGACTCCTCTAGCACACCTTTGCTCTCTACTATTTGATATTTGGCATCAAAACAAATTATCCTTTTCACAAAGATAGAATTTTTAAAAATTATTTTCTTAAAACCTTTCTTACTTAGCTAGTTTTTAGGGGAATGAACTTTATTCATGGATTGACTTCATCTACAGAAATCACTTGATAAATTATAGTGTTGAATTTTTACCTCAGGTTTAGACACCTGGTAGATACAAGCCCCTGTTACTATTAATATAATTAGATTTCTACAATGTTCATTTCTTTATACTTGCAACTCTGAGATATAAACTTCCTATTCAGGCCCTGGAAGACACCTATATTAATCAAGTCTAGTAGTACACACCTATCATCCCAGGACTTGAAAGACTGAGGTAGGAGAATTACAAATTTGAGGCTAACTTGGGTTATACAGTGAGACAGTGTTTAAAAAAAATCCTAGAAAAATCAAGGTTAATACTTTAGAAATGTATATGTACTTCTCTGCTTTAATTCCTGTTGTAAATAAAACATACTAACACACCATGAAGATTGGGCATTATTCTTTCTTTAAAGAACAAGAAGAATCAGTGACTCTACATTAGACATTTCTATTCATCCATCTATATCTATCTAGCACCTGGCAAATAGCCGATGCTAAAACACATACTTGCTGAAAGCAATAAGAGCAAGCCGGGTGCCAATTGCTCACACCTGTAATCTTAACTAGTCAGAAGACTGAGCACTGAGGATTATGGCCGAAAGCCAGCCTAGGCAGAAAAGCCTTCAAGAGTCAGTCTCTAATAAAGCAGCAAAAAGCCAGGCTGGATATGTAGGCAAGTGCCAGCTATATGCAAGAGAATTCAACCCTAGTACTAGTGCATGCAGAGAGAGACAGACAGACACGGGGTGGGGAGAGACACAGACAGACACAGGGGTTGGGGGGGAGAGAGACAGACAGACATAGATGGGGGAGGGGAGGAGACAGACAGCACACAGACGGACACAGACACAGACAGACAGACACGGGGCGGGGGAGAGAGACAGAGACAGAGAGACAGAGAGAGAGAGAACGGATCGGGAGGGACTGAGAGAGAAAGTCTTTGCAGGAAGCCCACTCTCACCCCAGCCCAGGTAGTGGCAAGGAGGTGTCCTCTAGTCTGGAGCAGGTCCCTGCTGTCAGTGCCTCAGCTCCCCGAACTGTAGATTGGGGGGACCGTGCTGGTGGGTGAGGTGCTGGGGTGTCCTCCTGTTCCCACTTCACCACTTACCTTCTTTATGTCCTTCACGCAGACTCGTCACCTGTCTTCCTACTCAGAATGCTGGCTCTGTGAAAGAATGGGTCTTGTCATTCACCTCCACACTAGTCCTGGGCCTGACACAGGATCAGCAAACATTTGGTGGCAGAAGGACCATGTCTTGGATATCTCGAGGCACCCACTCAGATGCCCTCTGCCACCCTAGGAAAGCGGCAGGTGGATGGAGCCCCAGTCAGGCTCATCGATCCACTACTCTTACCCCCTAAATCGTTATTTTAGTGTAACCGGTTCTATATTATAGTTGTGTATTATAGACATTTGTTTATTGAATACTTTTGGTCACAATAAACCAAAATAGGGTGAGGTTCTTTACATTCCTGTGGCTACTAACCCTGTCACCTTCTGTACCTAATTCATGTTCACTGAAGTGTGGCTTTTTTGTGTGCTAGTGCTGGGGCTTGAACTCAGGCCTGGATAGTGTCCCTGAGCTTTTTTTTTTGCTCAAGGCTAGTGTTCTATCACTTGAGCCACAGCTCCACTTCTGGCTTTTGTGTGTGTGTGTGTGTGTGTGTGTTTGTGTGTGTGATTATTTGCAGATAAGAATCTCACAAACTGTCCTGCCTAGGCTGCCTTAAACAGTGATCCTCAAGATCTCAGCCTCCTGAGTAGCCAGGAGTAGAGAAGTGAGCCACTGATGCCTAGCTTGAAAGTTTGACTTTTGAGTATTGAACAGCAAGACTGAGAGAATGCACCATTCCTGTTCATTGAAGGACTTTACTTAGAGCATGTATAAATGCACAAACTGAACATGCACATCTTTAACTTGCAGAGGGAACCCGAGCTTTGTGTTCTGACATACTGTACCTCGAGGCAAATGTAGAACACACTTGTAGCTTAGTTCTATGCAAGGATGACTGTGTACTAGTGTTGGAGGGGCTTCAGGGTGAAGGGAGAAGTCACCCTCTTAAACCTGGGGCAAGAACACCTTTTGGATAAATGCAATGTTTCTACCTTACACAGAGTCAGACAATTTAGAAGGCCATGGCTTTCAAAGAATCTTTAGACTAATAGCAGGGCCAATGGATTTGAACCATATTTTGAAAGCATTTCCAGATTGTTCCTCCCAGTGGAAGGGGGGTAAAAGTGCTGCTACTCTCCTCACAGTGGTTCAAAGTTTTGTTACACAGAAACACCTGAGAACTAGGCCCTTATGGATCATGGCTGTAATCCTAGCTTATCAAGAGGCTGAGATCAAAGCCAGACAGGTCAGCAAAGTCTGTGAGACCTTATCTACAATTAACCATCAGAAGGCTGGAAGTGGAGCTGTAGTTTAAATAGTAGGACACAGGCAACACACACACACACACACACACACACACATACACACACACACACACACACACACGCCACTTGAGATACTGCAAAAGTGTTGGTTTCTAGGCTCTGAGTTACCTGCTCCACCTTTAAAGAGGTAATGAGAGATTTCTCAGCTAGATTGCTGCTGGTGAAAGTATATAGGCTTAGTATAGTTTGGAAAACATAATAAAGTGGCTAATAACTATCTAAATTACTCCCAAAGATCTTTCTAGAGCCTCTCACAGATTCAGGTTGGGATTCTTTATTCCACTTCCAAGTTAACTTGCTAGGTTCTGGTACTTGGTTAAAAGATGTATTCCTAGGAGAAAGAAACATTAACAGAACCATTAACTATAAGCAAAACTATTCCATGAGTATAGTTTGTTATCACCCACAGCCTCCTAGAATTTCATATTATAGTATTGCATTAAATCAAAATCAACATCAATTAAAAGAATTGTATTTATTCATTCAAGCCTCTCAACAATTGTATATTGTGTTATATTATACAAAATTCATGAAGTATGTAGTAAGTATCTACTTTGTGCAAGACCTGTGCTGGCTGTTGAAGACACAGGAGTCAGAAGGACAGAAAAACACTCTGTTCTCCTTGCCCATCAATCCAATTTTGGGATAAGTGGGAACCAAACAAGAAACAAAAGCAGGAGTTAGGTAAACCTGACAGCCACTTGGTTAGGAGCCTAGGGACTGTTTTCAGCTGGGCTGATTTTAAATTTCACCTCTATCACTTACTAGCCTAATGATCTTAGGTAAGATACTAGGATTCTGGGAGTCTCAAATTCTTCATCTATAAAATGGGTACAATGAGAACATCTGTCTTTTGAGTTGTGTGTTTTAAAATGCTTAATATTGAATAGATGGGGCTGGGGAAGATGAGAGAGAACAATGGAGGGGGTGACAGTGATCAAGATATATTGCACTCGTAAACTTGTCTGCTGAATTGAAACCCCTTTGTACTACTACTTAAAAATAAAAGAGACTGGGGCTGGGAAGGTGGCTCAGTGGTAGAGCACTTGCCTTGCATGCCTGAGGCCCTGGGTTTGATTCCTCAGCACCACATAAGCAAAAAGAAA